AAATCCATTTGATTTTTCTGTTATTTTATGCGGGAGAATAACAATTATTCACAATAAAACAATAAAATTGCCTAAAACTAAAAAAAAACCCACTGATTAGTACTCAAATGCCAATATCATCATAATCGCAGGTGTAATCTGTAGCTCTGTACACATCCACGCGCGTTACAGTCATCACTTCGAAAACCAAGGTCAGGGGGGACCAAAACTCACACTCGAAAGTTTTGTCGGTTACTATTCTTTCTCCATATTAATAGTTGGGCAAAAGTATAGACATATTATTAACGATCAATAATGGCCTTTAAAATAAGCTGTCACTTTATTGGGCTTTATATTTAAAAAAAACTTTGAGCTGCCCCCAAATTAACCCATTATGGAGTCCTGGGCAAAATTGTCTTACCTATTAAAAAGTAGTTTTTAGTTTCTTAGTACGGTACTATTGAATCTAGTTTTCCTGCTACAACACATAATAGTATATTACGTTACTAGTCCTGAAAATAGGTATTTACCGGACGAGTGGGGTCGTTCCCGTGCGAGACGAAGTAGAGTACGGTATTACCATGTGAGTCCCATGCATATTTTTACATGGGGCTCTGAGGCTGATACAAAAGAAAAACGGCCGCCATTCTGTAACGGTGAGATATATCCCTCTAGTTTTACCGATATTCTTTTACACTAAAAGCCTTTAAAATCAGGTGTCACTTGATGGGGCTTTAAGCAGAGGTATAGGTGTATAGAGGTGTGCAAAGTTTGTTTTTTCTGGTGTAACCCATTAAAAAGTTAATAGGGAGTGTCTATACTTTTGCTTAACGCTCTATGCCTACTATGTATATGAAGAAAAAGTAAAAAAAAGGCTTTTAGATCTGCTTCTAAATAAGTCTAGCATTGCTGTTCATAATACAATAACGATAATATTAATAGGACACACCACCACCGAATACTTGACTTAATCTTTTGGTACATTACCACTAAGACTTCAAATGTTTTATTTGCTTTTTTCAACCAGTTAGTTGTGTGAAAGTGTAATACAAAAAGCTACTGTATTGATAAATGTAGACATTGTAATTCACTTACTTTTTCAGATGAAACCAATCAGCCAAACAACTGAAAGTTCAAAACCGGGGCACCAAGAGATGTTATAATTGGAATAGAAACTTTTCTAAATATATATAGAACCAAATCACGGAGTTTCACGATGGTCGGGTAGACGTTTAGGTAAATAAGATTATAGTCATATAGTCGGATGGAACAATCTGACATACATTTGATTTTGATGTATTACCCCATCAAAATATTTAAGTTTAACTAGTCTTTATAGTTCGCTTTTTAAGAATGAAAGTCACACCATTGATACAAGCTTTATGGCTTAAGTATAGTATGCAACTCACAGGATTATTATGAGATTGTAAGTTCTTTGTAAAACACATCCTACAGCATCACACAAAGTTTATCAACAACTGTGATTTCCATACTCATTATCTTGCTGTGGTAATCCTAGTTATATTGATGGTAATAAACGCATTCAACTCAATCAGGTTTGGCAACCAATTCTACATCCTTGAACTGGACATTGAAACTGGACATTGAAAACTCAGAAACCAAACCGCTCGTAGTTATGTCTACTGCTTCCACTCTGACTACCTACTCTGCTCATTACTAGCGAGAACCGCCCCTCCATCGCCAGGAAGCCCGATTTGCAATTTGGTTTGAATTATAGCCAAGTCTAAAAAACCAATATCTATCTGTAACCTTTGAATTGGCCACAATTCTGCTTGAGCTTTAATGAAGAAATTATCTTTGAGGAGCTGCTCCTCACGATTTCCATTCCATTTGGCGTGCTCAATTGTGATAACAGATTTGTTAGTTTACGACTGAAAAACATAAAATGGGATACTGATAATACTGATATATTGATATAAATTTAATGTTGGTTGTTCCTTAATTAACTAGTAGAATTTTGTGCTTAGCAAGGGAATGACAAGGCTTAGGTGGATCTATAACACGTAACAAATCCAGCTGTCCACTATTTAGCTACAAAAAAAAACAGTTTGTGTGTTTATTGACTGAGCTAGATAACAGCGAATCAGCAGGGTGATCAACTGGCCCGCATGCGCTCTCTTTGCCGACACCCAGCTCTTCACCCGGTGTCCTAGATGACTAACCAATAATATATTTGTATACCTTGAAAAACGTACAGTTGAACCTCGTTTGTACGAACCTCGATAAAACGAATTCCTCGATAAGACGAATTTTTTTTAATCCCCTTGACACTTTCATATAGGTCAATGCTAAAAACACCTCTATACAACGTAGTAATTAAGTTAAAAACCTCCATAAGACGAATTTGTTTGTGACATGGGCTAGGACTGATTAACCTCTATACAACGAATATTCTTAGCACAAAACCTCTTCAAGACGAACGTGACCTCTATAAGACGAATTTATCATAATCTTAACCTCCATAGTACGTAGTTTTCAAAACAAACAGAAGCTTGTCTCAACATGAAACCCCCAACCATCCCTCCTCCTTCCTCAGTCATTGTTTGGAGAAACCTTGGAGCGAGGAGAAACCTCTATAAGAAGAATAACAGCAACATTAAACCTCGATAAAACGACCCTCTTTATTAAGAATACCTCTATAGTACGAATTTTTCCCGTACCCCTTGAAATTCGTCTTATAGAGGTTCAACTGTACTAAAACTTTGGTTGAACCTTATTTGCGTATTATGTCTATTTAAAAGTATATATATAGAGAAAAACAAAATGGTGTACTCTGAAACAAAGCGTTCAACGAAGTTTAAATTTATATCTCCCTAAATACTGGTTTTATAAAGAAAAATGTTAAATACAAAGGTTGTTGGAAAACCAATTAAAAATAAGACAAAACAAATTGTAACACAATATGTTTATGTATACATAGATAGTATTCGACGGTCAGTTAAGAGAAATACTGCAATTTCTAGGTTTGGAGGTGGTGGGAGGTGAAGTGGGGACTTTTGGGATAATACACCTTTCATGTGGTTCTATCACATTTAAAAAATCTAGCTTTCCCCTAATAAGTTGCGAATAAACCCCTTCATTGACTGGGCTATAATATTGTGTTGTTATTTTGTCGCCAACATGGTAACAAATAAGGCCCAAGTTAAATTTTAAAGTTTTACATTCATTTTTTGTGTTTTTTTTTCAGCCTATTTTAATTTATAAAGGGATTCTGCACATGCGTAGATTTTCCCTGTGATGCCACAGGGGCTGAGAAAAAAGGTTTTCAATAAACATGCTTGTCTATAGAATTACCTCCATGTTAAATCTCCATAAGAAAAGTTGAATTTATCTTTTTTTACCCAATTAACATAAATATTCTCAAAATACAAATAAAACCTGCACATGTAGGACCAATAACCTTTCTTTTGGTATAACCCGCGTGTAATTTGGTCCGGTAGTATGGTCAGGTTAGCTCCCATAGGTTTTGCAATTTTTTTAGCCTATAAGATTATCTGGTTAAAAAAATCCATTTATTCCTATAACGATGTATTTTACACCCCCCCCCCCCCCCCCCCCACCGTAGACTTTTTATTGGACCTCTTGGAATAATTTTTTTCGATTTGTATTTAATTTCTTATGAAAATATATTATTTTTGTTTTTGTTGCTTACATTTGGGAAAGCAAGTTTGTTCTTTTTAGAAACTAGATAAATTTTTATTTGACACAAATCAATGTACATTATTTATTTATTATGTGCCGACCACTCTCCATTTTGATCCCAGGGACAGAGCATGAAAACAAGCTTCAAAAATGCACCCCAGCTCATTCTCCAGCGGGCCCGCGGTGTGCGATTTTGTAGTTAATGCTGCTCATATTTCTCGCGTTTTCTCACGCTGCGTTCTTGCGTGAAAAAACGCACGCGTGGCCGTAGCCATACTGTCTTTGCTTGATATAATAATAACAGGCAAATTAATTTGACAATAGTCCAAACTGGCAAATTTAATATAAAATACTAATTTAGCCGTTTCAGATTTATACAAAAATTAAAAAAAACAAACAAGTTCAACCAGAGACAAAAGAGTACTTCATTGTCTGTGGTTAAATTAAGATTTCAAAGAGCTACTATTGCAACTATATTTTCTCTTTGAATTACTTACCATAGTATGACAGTTAGTAGGTAGGGTCATCATAAAATATAGTACGGCTGATTGATTATTCTTTCTATTAGGAAGGATTTAAAAAGTGTACAAGAATGAAACCAGTATTTGCCTGTGTCTGTTCGATTCAATTAAGTTTTTAAACTACACCGGAATCACCAGTTCGGCATCCATGTTTAATATTGCAAGGAACGTGTACATATTAATGTATTGATAGCCAAAGGTATACCTATTTAATGTTAATAAAATAACTCGATTAACAAATTCAAAAAATTTTCATTGAGGATAAGGTATATTAAAATCAGTTGATAGAATAAATAATTACATTTTAATAAATAAAATACTGTAACAACAGACTAGATCTACAGTACACACAAAGATTTATATACACACACATACCCCAAAAGGGGAAAATTTATTATTTTATCGTGCAGTAAAATATTAGCACAGCACTACTACAAAAGAAACAAAAACAAATAAAACGCCTTGGTTAATAAATAATAATATTTTAGTCATTAATTCAACAGCAATATCATAAGTTAACTATTAATAATTTAAATAAATATGTTTCTCTTAATATAAGAAAATATCATAATGATTTTATGGTACTAACCTAATATCAAAATAGTATATTGAAAATCATATAAACACAAAACACAATACTGAAGTACCATGATTAATATCAAGTATAATATCAATGTCTTGTCAAAGCTCTGCATTGGCATACCTGTCGCCATAAGTCATATCATTTCAACAATATGCTTGGTTCATTATTAATAACAAAACTAATATGTTAAATCAAACGCACCAGCTCAAGATTGTTTAAAAATACTACAATTGTGTACAATAAGTTGGTAATTAATTTACCAAACACTTACAATGGAAGTTTCCTTAAAAAGGCACATAACGTATGTAAAAATGCATGTAGTAATATAAGGTACTTGGGTTTGGAAAAAAACGATCCACCAAAACAATACAATACTATCATAACAACCAACAATGGTATAACAGTCTTCAATAGTGTAAAAAGAGCAAAGGACATCATTGCCAATCGAAAACTGTAGATCGGAGAGCGGAAATGACTGTTCTTGTAATACACAAGATGTTTCTTAACACAATTATTACCATTATCATAACACACAGATGAACTTTTTGGTTGAATGTAAAATGTTTTCAAGGTTGTGTTTGCTTTTTAGGTTGTTTTATTTTTTATTTGCTTACTATGTTAGTGTTTTATAGAAATGCCAACAGTGAAATCATCTGATTTAGCTAGTGAGAACGAATAAGCGAAAATTAGTTATTTTGCTTACTGTTTACAGGTTTGGCAATGTAATTATCACCCAAACGATATTAATAGTCAATATTACTAAAACCGCTTTGTCGATGTATCTTGCCGAGCGAGGTTTTTGGGATGAAAGATACCGAGGATTATTCTTTTCTATGGTTTAAAACCCGCTATTATTTTACATTGTTAAACTTTATATTCAGATCCCAAACGATTAAACTTGGAAACAAATTTTAACAACCCAATGAAAACAACATGGCAAAAACAGCATCTTAGAGTTTTAAATCAAGACAATTACTGTCTATCCCTCCCATCTGTCTCCCAACTCTTTCCATTCTGATGTTCATACTCACTCTTCCCCTGTTCTCTTTCCCATCCATTGTCCCTTGGGCTGTGTTCCTCTTCATACAAGGAAGTTGCTACTTTGTCACTGTATCTGTACTGAAGGTCCACCCCACGATAGCAAACCATCTTCAGGGTCTGAGGGTTCGGGGGGCTCACCTCCAGAGCCCTGATGTACTCGTCGTAGGCCGTCGTCATCTCCAAGTGGTGGCTGAAGCTGATAACGAGCGGGTGGAGAGGATTAAGTTGCATGTCGAAAACTAGGTGCTTTAAAATGGCTCTTACCCGTTCATGATACCCCTGGAACAACAGGTCATGGTCGTCTTTGGGGGAACTCATCTGAAAAAGAAAAAAATATAAGTGTAAAATGAACATGGATATTGCAAAACGCTACAAAAATATTAACAACTTTGTACAGAACTAAGGTCACGGGCCGTGCGTCGCAGAAGTTCTTCGTCCACTGGAGCGTCACGTACGGCGCCGGTAGAAGGTAGGTTGACTCAACTTCATGACTGTGTCATCTACACCTGGACCTTCTACCGGCGCCGTACGTGTCCGATGTTTATTACGCGCTTTTTCGTTTTGTGTTTTGGCCAATCAGTGTTAAATGTTTCGTGTACATGTATATGTGTTATTTTTGGTGAACTTTAAACCTCATGACGACCATTCTATGGAATAAATCAATGCAACTATTTGACCTGAAGATGTGTTAATATTAACATGAAACAGCTGTAGTCAACCAACTACAAACCAGGACCACTTGACGGATACAGGTAATTTAAACCTTCTATTGTTAAAATCAGTGATCCAGAGGCTATACCATAAAAATGAAATTGCATATTTAAACTATTTTAGTGGCAACGGTATAGTATTTAGTCCCTTAAGGGGCATTTGAACTTAGTAATATATGGTTAGTTTACGAGTAGCCTATTGGATCACCGTCTATGTTGGCTGATTGTGCAAACCGACTTATTGGTTAAATTAGGAAGAGTTCACGCGAGAAGGGCTCATCAGCAGGAAAAGGAAGTCCGCCTGCTTCAATAATGTACTGTACAACTAGGGAACAAAGAGCATTTACTGAGAAGCATTGCTCAGTTCGTCAACACTTAATAGATCGGTCGAGTCGCCACACAGAATAAAACAGATTGTGTGGTATATAAGTAAATCCATTTTGAAAGAAGTCCGAATAAACCTTTTTTTTTAAGTTAAATCATTTCGAAAACCCGCATAAAATAACTTAGAAACAAATACTTATACTTTGCTTGGAATTCAAAATCACTTTCCACATTCTACAATAATTACAACAGACCCAATGTGGGCGTATTGGTCTTGGTCAATACGGCCAGGGACCCCCTGAGGCAGGACCCCTGCGCTGAACTGCAATTGTCTGGAGAAGGTCATTTACTATGGAGCGAACGTATCAATCTTGCGAAAGGAGAATAGATCAGAGAAATTTAAGTTCAGAGAAACTGGTGTTGGAATTTGGAGTTACTCTTTGAATATCATTTAAAGGTGACGCCAACCATCAAAGTTTAACAGGTTTACAACTTTGATAAAATAACACTAAAATTACCTGAATGTTCGCCTCAATATTTAGCTTAATATTGACAGAAAGTGACATGGGACTATTACAAAGTATACATTAAACAATATTTCCATTATTATGTATAAGGAGAAAGCTCATCTCCATACAGCCGAGCTATTCGAAAATCGTCGATTTCCAGCCTAGCAAAACATTAGTTATTTGTGTAACTACTGTAGTAGTTTCTCGAGTGCAGCAAAGGCAGTTTGCACTCGTGTTACACATTATATTTTTCCTACAGTCACTATAAAGCATATAAATAATTAGTCCTTCAAACACTATACAACACGTTTTTAGGTTCAGCTGGCAACACAAATAGGTGCCCTAGAGAAAGTAGTCCCCGGTCCGTATCACTCCGCCATTTTTCCTCGGCAAGCAATGTGCTCCGCGACTTGAGAAAATAGTTCCGTATATTTTAGTAATTTGCAGTGGTTTCCGCGCCTAAAAAATGCTTTAAAGGTATTTTATTGTTTATTATTATCATAGGAATGTTTTAAACACGTTTTAATGAAAATTCCAGAAAGTTCAGAAATACCGAAAAGACATTAAAAAAACACGTCGTGTTAAAGATAAACTATAAACACGAAATGACAGGTTAAATCGTAGTTATAATAGTCAATCAGCTGCTCATAGTATTATTATCCTTTAAGTGTTGCCAACCTATTTCCAAGCGTACACGGATTACGTGCGTAATAGAACCACGCTGTTTTGTGTTGTTTCGTTGGAATCCTGATGTGCGACAAAGTATAAACCGTACGACAAAGTATAAACCTTACGACAAAGTATAAATATGCAGCAATTAGCAGCTTTCTGTACTATAAACAGTACAAGGAAGCCAACTTTGTCGGGTGACTGTAGGAAAAGGATTTTGCCTTTCCCAAACAGGCCAAGTTTATGTTTAGGTTAACAAGAACAACGTTTGAATTATTTTATTACTAGAAATAGTTATCAACAGCCGACTTTAAAATATATTGCCAACGTATGTTATGGCAACCTTAAACAGAATCACTAGACTATAGAATAGTATTTTATTATTTAAAAACAAGAAGCTTCGTATGATTTGTTTGCATCGTGATGAAAAGTATTGGTGACTATTCGAATTATACATTTTAGGGGTTCGTTTTCGCCACATTCCACTATCTTGTGCCGAAATGGGTCACTTTCGGAACTGGTAGTAAAATATACATTGATTTATGATTGTAATAAAGTGGAAAGTATCATACTGTATTAGAACTCTTTCATTTTCTTGATAATCCAGATCAGAAGTCTTCGATTTTAGGTACAGGATACATCTATTATTAAATAAATAGAGTAACGTTTTCTATTATTACCACACGTGAAATTTTACCAAAACTATTACAGTAGCACTTCAGTAGAAGGCAATGAAGTAGTGGACACACAGTGGCAGTGGAATAAAGAGCCGTTATATAGTATGGTGGCAGCTACGGAGGGTAGAAGTTTTTTTTTTAGCAATTTGTTACTTAAATGTATTTTGTGTTTACATACAATTACATGATGTTAAAGAAAAACATAGGGGCCTCCAGGTCAATTTATTTTATTAGTATGAATGATGCCACCTCATCCGTTCTCCTTACTCATATCCTGACCCAGGATGCTGTGTTTTTGTTCCGAAAAACTATTTATTGAAATCTACAACAATGTTTGACACAATCCTCAATATTAAACGACACAATGTAACGTGTCTCTTTAACAAAAGATAAATACAATGACCACAACTATAGCTTACACCTTACAAGTGTAGTAAGGGCGTTTTTACATCATGCAGGTGAATGTTGTGCAACGAGCGGAAGCGAGTTGCATAATTCACCTAAGTGATGTAAACACGCTCTTGCGTGACGAGTAACGAACAAGATTTTACCTGACCCAACAATGTGCAGGGGGTTACGTACAATATTTTTCATTATCCATTTCACTCATCTTCTAACAGTAACGTTAATTTAAAAACAAAAGCTAGGTTAGGAAAATTCCTTAGAGCATAACAATAACATTCAAGCGCACAGCTGGTTTCTAGCGTTGAACGTCGTCGGCTCCATAGAGGTATATTTTTTTAAGTTGAGCACTTAATCCTACTAATATTATAAATGAGAAAGTTTGGATGGATGTTTGTGACAAGTGAACGCGAAAAATACTGGTCGGATTGGGCTGAAATTTGGCATGATGATAGCTCACATTCCCGATTAACATATAGGCATATTCTTATTTCAAAAATCCTTTCGGAGTCCGCCCCAGTGGCTATGGAGTTTCCCATGTTAACCTTATGAGAAATGGAATTATTGAATCTTAACAGCTGTTTTAATTAAACAAGTTGGTTCTGTTCTATGATGTTCAATAAAGTTACAAGGATTACCAACAGGGTGCAGCACTATTATTTCTTTTACATTTATGACAACAGCTAATTTGCAACCAAAAGGTGAGTGAGCGTAGCGAACGAACTTCAACCTGGAGGCGAGTTAGCGTAGCGAACGAGCTAACCTGAAGGCAAGTGAGCGCAGCGAACGAGCTCCAAGCTAAAGGTGAGTGAGCGTAGCGAACAAACTTCAACCAGGACGTGATTGAGCCATGCGAACGAGATAATCTTGAAAATTAAGAAGTTACGGGGCAAAGCCCGCGGGTTACAGCTAGTCTTCTATATAAATAAAATTAGAGTTTTGTCTGTACATTGCTCAGAATTATATATATTTAGGTTATTTTTACGTTTTATACATTACAGAAGCAGAAACAAGTCTTATCTCTATTTCTGTCTGTCTGTCTGTCCGTCTATCTGTCTGTCTGTAATACTCAAGATGGCATTTTCCGCAATCTTCTCCATGTAAACGAGAGTACCTATCAATATCCAAGTCATTTTAATGTATTCACTGGATTGGCGAGAGTGTCTTTAGCAATTAAAATATGGCCTCACTACTTTGTAAATAAAATTACAGACATTCAAAAATGAAGTTTTGTGCGATTTATGTCAAGTTTTCGTCCAATTTTTATCACAAATCATCTATGAAATAACGAACAGCTGTTGGGATCAAGATTATTCTTTCTAGCTGTCAGTGTTATGTTTACAAATGTTGTTTACAAATACCGCAACCATTTCCGATCACGTTCTGAAAGCAAATCCCAACCAAGTGAGATTAAAAACCTTTTTCTTACAAAACGGATTTAATTAATCGCAAGTGTAATATTATAGTGTAACCGTAAATGAAATTAAATAACTAGGCATCATCCAGGTCAGGAACCAGAAATTCTTTGTGTATAAAATTGTTCTTGATTTTTGATAACCAGAAAAAAGACCTTGAATCAGTGTTGTATAGGGCTGGGACACTTAATGATCGTCACCAATAGCTTACAAACAAGGTTTCCACTCATTGACGGCGCTTCAATGGCGATTGTAAAGTAAAAAAATCACAACTGCAGTGGGTGATTGTAACAAAGGTTTACGGATGATGCTAAACTCGCTTTTCCAGTGTGTCACTTTCTGTTTCTACTCACCGTGTGATGCAATCGCTGGACCATACAGCCAATAGGCCCATAGCCCATCTCTTGGGTACGTACGCCTACCTTTTTATTCATAACAACCTTTTCGACGACGATCCTTGATACCGGTACTTTTCCATAGAATACATGGCCTACCTACTTAAGAAATAAAATTACAAATGTCCAAAAACCCAACATTGTGTGATTTTTGTCACATTCAACTGACTACTATAAGATCTCCTTGCGAAGATCAGGCACACAGCTAGTGTTATTT